GCCTTGTACCCACAGAGAGAGGCACGTAGTCGATACAGAGAGAATACATACCATGCAAGGTAAGTTCTTGACCTACAGACACTGACTAGCTAGGCCAAGAGTTTTCGTTTGAGCTGTGACTGAACTTGCAATGTCTTTCTATTCTGACAAGAACTTTATCTTACGAGATTATGAAAGATGTTAGGCGAGTTGAGAAAAAATTAGGTGAGCGCAACAAGGACAGAATACAATTTTTTTTTTTTTTGGTTGTTTTGTTTCGTTTCCAGTAGTAGTTGGAAGTTGCTGTAGTAAAGGCGCAAGATACAAAAGTACCTCCAACATTCAATGCCCACATGCGCTCTCCATTTCACCATCCCCTCCAGCAACTCCCAGAATTCACAGAACCAGAACATGAGGCTATAGGACGACGGGCCGCGGAAGGCTCGCAAAGGCCAACGGCGCCAGCAAACGGAATCTACAGAAAACATGCGTAGTTTTCACAAAAGGAGCTTGGCTCAGGCCACCGGACGAACATGGGAGAAGCATTGGGGGGGGGGGGGGAGGGGGGGCTAACCACCCACCTACTCTCGTCACGATAACGGCAACAAGAGCTCGCGCGTATAAGAAGATGCTCAGAAAAGGGTGGGAAAGCGTCGATGCAGCTCGACGTGTTCCGCACCCACCTTGGCCTGACTGCCTAGCCGTCTGCCTGCCGAGAACCATTCATGCAAAGATGCAGCTTACCAGATTCGTACAGCTCCAGCTTCTGGCCACTCATGTCTGGCCTCGCAAGAACAGGCCTCGCTGGTGGTGTCAGTGGTGCGACATTCTGTGTACCTCCCGTTTACTTTGCATCAGTCCTTTTCGACTTTTGTCTTTTTTGTTCGCTCTACTCTAACTAAATGTATCCATGAAGCAGTCCCCTACAAAGTCGGGGGGACAGCCACAGCGCCGTTGGGTATGTACGTCTAAAGAAGTAACATGGGGAGCGGCGAATGCTTTTGCACAGTACGCCCTCTGCTTCCCCCGCGCCGATGGCCTATGCTCCGTATGCTCCATGCTCCGTAACCGTGTGTGATGAATAAAAAAAAAGGGAATCCCAATGCTGCCTATCCTGGGTAAGGCAAGTGTGACCAGGCCTTACCGTGAGACAACCCCCCGCGCCGCAACCTTGAAGCTGCCTTCTTTTTTTTCCCCCCGTTCTCGAGGGCAGACAAAATAGCATGCGCTTCGACGAAGCGATGCTCCTTGACGCCCCCAACTAAATGTCCAAACCAAGCCGTGAACTGCTGCGTCATTAAGGCTATTCGCCAGGGTCCATCATTGGATCCCGACTTGACCAACCGTACCCCACACTTTAGTGTGGTGTGACAGGACACCAGCCGCTCGACGATCATCGACAAGTTCACTCCGTTGGAGAGCGCATCTGTCTGTCATCACTACTATCTTAGTGAGCTCTGCCCTCACTTAGTGGTGCGCCGCCTTCTCGACAGTCGGGAGCTCCTTGAGCGCCTCGCCGATGATGTTGATAGCCTTGCGGAGCTCGGTCTCGGATATGACCAAGGGAGGTGCGAATCGGATGATGTTACCGTGTGTAGGCTTGGCCTGTGGAAAAGCAGAGTCAGTAATGTGCCGTGTGTATCATTATGCCGGGCGTTTGCGACTTACCAAAAGACCCTTCTCCTTCAACAACAGGCACAGATCCCAGGCGGTGCGACCAGCCGTAGCCGACTCGTCAATGACGACGGCGTTCAGCAGACCCTTTCCACGCACCAGCTCGACAATAGGCGAGTTGAAGGCTCTGATGCCCTCACGGAAGATGTTGCCCAGCTTCTCAGCCTTGGCAGTCAGGTCTTCCTCCTCCATGATCTCCAAGGCGCGAATGGACACGGCGCATCCGAGGGGGTTACCGCCGTAGGTGGAACCGTGGGTGCCGGGCTCAACGACAAGCATAATCTCCTTGCTTGACAGAACGCAGCTGACGGGGTACAGACCGCCAGAGATGGCCTTGCCCAGCGTGATCATGTCAGGCTTGATGCCGGCCCACTGAGAGCACAGCATGCGTCCGGTGCGACCGATACCAGTCTGGATCTCGTCGCAGATGAAGAGGACGTTGTGTTTCTTGCAAAGATCATGCACTCTCTTCAGGTAGTCGTCGTCGGGGACCACGACACCGGCCTCGCCCTGGATCGGCTCGATGATGATGGCAGCAGTGTCCTTGCCATGCGCCTCGAACACGGCTTCGATATCCTCGACGTTGTTGTAGCGAATGGCCTTGCCCGTGGAAGGGTTGACGGCGCCAATTCCGGGGACATAGGGGCCGTAGTTGTCCCTCGATTCGGGATCGACTGACAGAGAGATCGCAGTCATCTGGAAGGGTTTTATGTCAGCCTCGGGCCGGAATACGCAGCTGTCAGCAGCTAAATCTAGAAAATGTACTCACGGTTCGACCGTGGAAGTTGTCGTTGACGGAGAAGACCAGAGCCTTGCCCTGCTCAACGCCCTTCACCTTGTACGCCCACTTGCGGGCAATCTTGATTGCGGTCTCGACAGCCTCGGCGCCTGTGTTCATGGGCAAGACCATGTCGTAGCCAAAGACCTGTTGGATCTTCTCGGCCCACTTGGGGAAGACATCGTTGTAGAAGGCTCTCGAGCTGAGAGTCAATCTGCTGGCCTGCTCCGTCAAGGCCTTGACCAGCTCGGGGTGGCAATGGCCCTGGTTGACGGCGCTGTAGGCGGAGAGGAAATCAAGGTACTGCTTGCCCTCGGGGTCCCAGACGTGGACGCCGCTGGCCTTGGAGAAGACGACGGGCAGCGGGTGGTAGTTGTGGGCAGCAAGCTCCTCCTCGGACTTGATCGCGGCCTGGGTCGAAGAGGCGTGGTATCTCGACTCCACTCCGCCATTGGACTGAGGGGTGCCGCCGTTTGTGTGGGGGGCCATATTGCCTGATTTACAGAGAATGGACTTGGTGGGAGGCAAGTGTGGTTGAGGTGGGTTGAATGGGTATGTTAAAGTATCAATTGGCTCAAGGGAATGTATAATTCTTGTCAGAGAGTGTTTGCGACTCAGGACAAGTGGCCGTTCAAGTAGAGTTCGTGGGCAAGTAGATGGAGAGTAGAGAGAAAGAGAGCGTCAACAGAAGAAGACGGGAACGAGGGGCAAATCGCGGGGTCTTGGGTAATTATACCCCCCCTGGCAGAAAGCCCGGTCATCCTTGACTAAAGAACTCAAGCGCGATACGGAAGCAGAAAACTAGGAAACCAGGTGGTCGTGGAAAGCGGCGGCGGCGGCAACGTGGACAGGGTCCAAACATCGCCGGAGGCGGACGATACGAGTGGGAAGTACATTGGCCCTGGTACAAGAACGGGCATGACGGGTTCTGGCCAGTTTGTGGGCGAAGAGAAAGACTAGTAATTGCTACGTAGGTAAGGTATGAAAAAAACGGCTGGACCTTGACCTGGAACCAAACTCTTGGTGTCGGAGTCAGAAGGCGCGCCACTATGCCTTTAAGTGCAGGTATGTTCCCCTAAGCGCAGGTATAAGCGGCTCAAGTGGGTGAGTGGGCAGGATGACGCCCGAGGGGGCCATGTAAGGGAAACCATCCCGGTGCCAATTCAGTCACATGGCCCCGGGAGGAGAGAGGGGAGGGTGGCGCGGACGTAGGAAAAGCAGTGCGTTCGGTCACCGGTGGTTTCTTTGATCCTTTTCTCTGGTGTAAAGATGTCGTAATGGAATATGGAAAGGATGCCGTTGCTTGGTGTTGCCGCGGGTTGGAGTCTTGGGGGAAAGGTGGCACGGGTGGGAAGATGGCTGCCGAGTGTTGTTGATGGTTGAATGTCGAGAGAGGAAACCACCAATCCCATCAAAGTCAGCAGTCAAAGACCCAAAGCAAAAGCCTCTTGCCAATGCGGCGGGGCGGCGGAAGCAACGACACGGGCAAACTCCAACCTGTGGGTGGGAGTCTTGGGACGGGGGCAGGAAGAGGGGAGAGACAACAACTGTGAGGAATGCAAGCACCGAGGCCGATAACGGGCATCTGTGCTCACGGCGTTGGAGAGGCACAGCAAGTAAATGCCTATCTACGCTATCATTTTTCTTTTGCGTTGCAGGCGGCCAACATTGTTAACAATTCGTCGTCAATTCTCGAGAAAGCGCATATGTACACTATATTCAACGGTGTACCATTGGACTGAGAGGAACAAGATAGGGAATTACACGTAGATAAACCAAGCGGACCGTATCCGTAGAACGTGGAGAATCAGAGAGTGCTACCTATTGGGGCCGAAGTGGACGGCAGAGGGACGGCAGAGGGACGGCAGAGGAAAGGGCTCCGTGGCCCAATGACAAAGTCGGTATTTCCATTCCCGCTGTTCGGATCCAATAGGGCCGTCCATTTGTATGGAGACGACTGAGGATCCAATGAACTTCTCCTCTCTCGCCGAAGAAGTGGATACCAGAGTATTCTTGCTCGAAAACTTGTGCCTAAGTATTAAGGCCACAAGGCTAGAAATGGTCTTGTGTCTTTTAATTCTCCAGGCTTCCAGCGATTGATTCTTTAGTGACCAATTGCCAGAGGACGGTGGCCTGTCAATGAAACTTTAGCGTCTCTGCGTCCGTCCACGGCCCTGCCGCATCATCCTGGTCTACCCGTTTCGACATTCCATTAGCGATCGAGAACACCGCTTTTCGGCATCAACTCTTCCATCAAAGCCCACACACTCCTTTTCCTCCCCCTAGCTGACGGCCACACGGCAAAGCGCGAGAAAAGGAAAAGGGCGAGAAACGAAGGGAAAAAAAGGCTATTCAGGTTGACACACATACACACGACAACCGGCACACATGCGGCAACACCATCACACATCCTGACTCGCTTCATCGCTCAAATCCATCGGGCTCCCCGTTGCACCGAAACTGTTCGTTCACGCCGCCGCTCCTGCAAAGAGGGTCATTCCCCCCAACAACAGCTTCACCGCACCGCACCACTACCACCACCACCACCAACCCCCGTCCGACCGATGATTACGCAATAAGTCTTCCGTGCCCACCCCGCCTGACTGCCGCCGCCGCCGCCGGCCACAACTCAGTCGTCTCCCACCCCGTATCCACAATGGCTTCCGTCGGCTCCCCGCCCGCCCCCGAACTCCTAATGGCAGTTCGTAACGAGCACAACAAGCCCTCCGTCTTCCGGTCCCTCCTCGTCATCCGCCTCCTCAACGCCTGGTGGGTCCTCACCTTTTTCCAGCCCGATGAGTACTTTCAGGCCCTCGAACCCGCCTGGCGCATGGCTTTTGGTGAAGGCAGCGGCGCCTGGATCACTTGGGTGAGTATCCCATTTGGAATTCTATTCCTGTACACTTTTACTCTTGATTATTATTCACGATGGCAGAGTAAGCTTCGTTGATTGATCTCACGTGCAACTAACACAACACCAGGAATGGAGAAACCAGCTCCGCTCCTCGCTGCATCCCGCCCTCTTCGCCGGCGTCTACACTCTCGCAGACCTTGTAGCCCGCCCCCTCCCCATCATCAGGCCATGGCTCCTCCTTGCCGCTCCAAAGGCCGCACAGGCCGTCTTTGCCGCGGCCGGCGACTGGTACACCTGGCAGCTGGCCGTCAAGATCTACGGCGCCGATAGCTCCGTCTCGTGGTTCGCTGTAAGTCACCACCACCACCACCACCACCACCGCCGACACCACCATCATCAACATCAACATCAGTAGCTGCCACAAACTTGCTATACCTTGATGTACTTGTAAAGTGAAGTCATGGCTGATCCAATTTCGTTATATAGCTATTCATGAGCATGTTCAGTCCTTTCCAATGGTACTGCTCCACCAGAACCTTTTCCAACTCGCTGGAGACCACCCTCACCATCATGGCCCTCAACTACTGGCCCTGGGAACTCCTCGGTGATGCAAAGACCGAAAAGGAGAACCCCAAGCCCGCGGTGTCCATCTTACACACGCCCGGGACTCTCACAAGGTACGTTCCCGTCTCTCGCACTTGACACCGGCCGGCCAGCCTACCAGCCACCCTAGTCGGTCTCCCACAAGAGGGAAACACACACTTACACGCAAAACAGCCTCCGCATATCCCTCATCCTCGCCGCAACAGCAGTCCTCCTACGCCCAACAAATATCCTCATCTGGACAACAGTCGCCCTCGCAACCCTCCTCCGGCCCCTCCTCTCCCGCTCAGGCTCCACCACCTCCGTCCTCACCCCGCAAACCATCCTCCTCCTCCTCCGCGAAGCCCTCCTCTGCGGCACCCTCGTCCTCTCCCTCTCCCTAACCTCAGACCGCCTCTACTTCAACCAGTGGGCCTTTCCCCCCTACAAATTCCTCTACTTCAACCTCTCCCAATCCCTCGCCGTCCTCTATGGCCGCAACGACTGGCACTACTACCTCTCCCAAGGCCTGCCCCTCCTCTCAATAACCTACCTCCCCTTCGTCCTCTACTCCCTCTACAACCCCACGCCAACAACCCAACACTCCAAAATCAGCACGGCAACCCTCAAAACCCTGTCATGGACAGTCTACATCACAATCGCAGCCCTCTCCTGCGTCTCCCACAAAGAAGTCCGCTTCATCTACCCCCTCCTCCCTGCCCTTCACATCCTCGCCGCCGCGCCCCTAGCAGCCTTCTTCACAGTCCCGGCCCCACCACCCTCCGCAAAATCCCCGCTCCCGAAGCCCCGCCTCCGCCGCAAACGTCTCCTCACCTCCGCCCTCGCCATCCACGCCGCCCTCGCCTTCTTCCTCACCCTCCTCCACCAACCCGCGCCCATGACGGTCCTAACCTTCCTCCGGACCTCGTACGCCCGCATCCACCCAGAGCAGGCAGTCACATCGGCCCCGATCGCTTCCTTAGCTTCAGCCTCATCAGGACCAGGCTCCTCATCAGCGCCAAACGAAGAAACCGGCCACGAACTCTTCGCCCTCTTCCTAACACCCTGCCACTCCACCCCCTGGCGCTCCCACCTCCTCCACCCCTCCCTCCGCGCCCGCGCCCTAACCTGCGAACCGCCCCTCCACACGCAACCAAACACCCCCGAACGCGAAGCCTACCGTGACGAAGCGGACCGCTTCTACGACGATCCCCAGCTCTTCATGGCGACCGAGTTGTGGCCCGCGGGAGCCGAGTCCGGGGTTGAGTCAACAACAACACCACCAGCAGGAGCCGAGGACATCCCCCGCTACATCATCGGCTTCGAAGGCATCGAACCCTGGCTCAACTCCTTCTTCACCCACCCCACTGGCGCAGGCCACCATCTCGGCGTGAGCCCCAAACGCGTCTGGCAGGGCTGGAACGGCTTCTTCAACGAGGACGCCCGTCGCCGCGGGAAGCTTGTTGTTTGGGATACGGGGCTGTACACTACAGTGTCCTAAAAAGTTCTCAATGTCAGTTGTGTAAAAGTAAAAGAGAAATAATGCAAACGAATCAAAAGAAAGGAAAAGTCGGGAAACCGGATCCCGTAAGAAAAGAGAAAAGAGAAAACCAGACCTATAAACCAATCAATATATTCCCCTAGCGGAATAATAAAACCTTTGTTCAATCTGCCGTTGAAATGTCAGGGAGCCCCACTGATGACATTACCTCTCTGCATCACGTTGTCACAGAAGTCAGGCATCATCGCAAACTTCCAAACATGAGAATTATTCTTTTTTCTTACCCTATCCTAGGCCATAGACACACAAATCCAAACCCCAGGAAACGTTAGGTGGGATAGGAGTGGCCGGGACTACTACACTCATGACACACAAAAAAAACGCCAACTTGATAGGATACCCTTCATAGCGAGCGAGCCCGTAGACAATGCATCGCTTTACACCAAGCCAGAGAATCGAACAACTCCGTACATTTATGATGATTCACAACAACAAGCACGCACATGCCTCCTTTTTCTTTTCTTCGAATGTTCAAACGTGGATTCTTGGAACTTTGGGTCAGCCGCGTCTAGGCTAGCCCACCTCCCCCCCCTTTTCCCCCTCTGCCGCTGGCCTCAAAACTATTGAGGATGCATCATGTCCAACAACGAGTGAAGAGTGATACCATAGAAAAACGTGCCCGTCATAACAAAACACCTAGAATGATGATATTTCGAATTCGGATCCTTGTCGTAATTATCGCGCTGCTTCAGGTGCCGGTTGTGTTGGCGGTGCTATTTCCGGTTGGGACGCTGCTGCCAACTGGGACTTTGCCGGTTGAGCTGGTGCTGGCGGGCTTGCTGCTTGAGAAGCGGGCGGAGCTACAGGACTCGTTACCGGCGGAGATGATGCCTGTTGCGCTGGTGCTGATGTCGGCTGGGGCGGCGGAGGTTGAGAAGGTGCGGTTTGCGTTGTTGGTGGCTGAGCGGACGCATTCTGGGTCGGGGCCGCTTGCTGCGGCAACGGTGGCACAGGTGGGTTCTGGGCCCTCTCCTCGGGTTCCCTGCGAATATCCAGACTCTTTCCCCTTCCTGACATAATGCTGGAGCCTCCTATAGATGACTGACGGTCCGCTGGGGGCGATTTATTCCTTCGTTCGGCGCTCTCCTTGGCCTCACGGTATTTGTTCCTAATCCAACCGATGGGGCCCTTGGATTCGTCCTTGCCGTCCTTCTCACGCGATTCATGGCTGGTTTGTGCCTCAGCAGTGTACATGCCAGTTTCTGAGCTCTCGCCGGTGAAGCTCTTCCGGGGCCTGTATCCACCACTGCCAATTGACGTGACGCTAACGTCGGCATTATCGTTGGATCCGAAGGCCAGACGCGGAGAGGTAATTGAGGGGTGATGTTCGTGGCCTCTCTGTCGTGAAAGTCGCCATCTTCTCTTTTTCTCCTTATCCGGCTCGCTGGCGTCTGCCGAAGTCGTCACAATGGACTCTTCAGTCTGATCAACGTCAGAACCTTCGTTAAATGATGAGTGAAGTGATGTTGGTGGCGACTTCTTCGCCTTGAGCGTCTGCTCGGGGTGTAAGGTGTTGCTGGAGGGGACCTGTGATGCGCGCGGGGTGGGTTCCGAGGGTGTATCAACCGCACTATGTTGCTGGCCAATTGCAAGGGAATCGTGCTCTGGGATTGTATCGGCCACCAAATCCATAGGGTTGGGGGCCTCAAAACTAGGGGACACAGCGGCTGAGTGCGTACCGGACAAGGATGCGGCCGAGCTTTGCGCGCTCGGGTTCAAGCTCCCGGGGATCCGCTTCTTCTTCAGTTTGTTCGGTTGTCGCTTCTCGCCCTCCCCCGTGGGAGATCTTTGGAATATGCTCGGCAGTACCCTTTCCTTGATGGGTGTCGTGGCCTCGTTCGGGTCAAGCAACCTCTCCTGGCTTCTACCTGCGTTGCCAGCAACAGTGGGTGCCAAGCTGGAGGTGCCTATCGCAGCCGGTGCGGGCGAGATACTTGAAGCAGCAGGGGACTGATCAGGTGCTTCAACTAGTTCTTCCGTCGTTGTCGGGATCATGGGCTCACGGGTTGACGAGCCTGGGATGGGTGAAGCATCACGTCTGAACCTTCCCGTCTGAAGAGCAGGGGACTTCTTGGACGGGACTGTGTTGCTTCTGCCGAGGCCGCTGTTCGGAGTCGGTGCGAGGGCTGGGCTGTTCGGGGTCGTAGAACCTTCATGGTGCGAGTGCCTCGAAGATGTCGATCGGTTTCTCCTCAGCATTCCGTCTCTTCTTACACTGTCAGCGCCGGCACTGGCATTGGACGCAGACCGGCCCAGACCCGACTTCCTGTTAGGGTTAGGAGTCACTGGCCCACCCGCTGCGGGGGGCGTGCCTTTTTCGATCAGCTGCTTTGTCTTCTCGTCAGTGGCCGTGCCCTGCATGCCAATCAGGAAATGGTCCTGATTTTCGATGAGGAAAATGAGCACGCATTGGTTTAAGCGATACTCTTCAGGCGCCATGGCGTGCTGCGGATGCGACAGCATCCCGGGCTGGAAAATGGCTGCTAGATTCTGCGAATTCATCCTGTTTTCTTCCGACTTGGCGGCAAAGACAGCAAGCAAATCCAGGATGTACAGCAGGAGCTGACGGTTCAACGGCGGAAGCTCCGTGATAAGCTTCTGGTACTTGACGATGGCGGCTTGATCGTCAAAATTTTCGACAAATTGCGGGCCTTCGGCATCGCCCACAGCTTGCCTTGTGGCGCCTCGCAACGGTTCCCTGAATTTTTCATATAGATCTAACGGCACAACAGGCTCGGGAAGGTCGTTGAGATATCGTCGGAGCACGTTGGCAGCATCGTGAACCGTGTAGTTGTCCCAGACCAGGCCCTTTCCATAGCGATCGGGTGAGTCGAAGATCTGTTTCAGCTCCTTGATTCGCTTCTCGGAGCCACTAAGTCGGAAAATACCCTCCACCGTTGTTGCTGGAACGAAATGTGAGCACGCGCAGATGGACCGGGGTTTGTATGCACTTACCCTTTTCTTTCAAGAAGACGCCGCACTTGGCGACAACAATCGGTACGTAGCCATAGATGTAGCTCTTTCCGTTCTCGTCGACGAGAGATATCGCGACATTGGCGTAGGTGATGCTCTGACGGAGAGGAACGCCGAAAATACCGTGTGGCCGGTTATCTGCTCCAGAACCTTTAGCACATGAAGTCGGAGACGTTTTCACAGCCGCGCGGATGAGCTTGGCACACTGGCGCACAGGCGTGGTGATGGACAGGGACATCCTGTTGAGCCGACGAGTTGAGTTCGAGGTGTTGGGGGCTGTCGCATCACTCGAAGCGCAGACTTGGGGCAAAATGGGGTCGCTGGACCCAACAGGATGGGCGTCCTGCAACAACAGGACGAGACTGAGAGGTGCAGCTGACGTATCGATTGTCTCGTCGACGTCTTCACTGAAGAGGGGTTGTGTGGGAGTTGGGGGAGGAGGTTGCGATGCGAAAGTAGAAGGGGCGCTACCGTGATGATCCTGGTGCTTGGAAGGAAGCTTGAAGCCCTTCCACCACGATTTCAAGTCTCTCTTATTTGGAGTCGAGGGCGCGGCGGGCGCTGTCGAGTTGCTCGTGGGCTGAAAAGCCTGGTTGGGGGGAGGAGCGGCGGACGTCATCGCAATGACGGAGCGCAGGTGGTCGGAGCTCAATTACTGTGTCGTAGCCAGCGTCCTTTGATCGTCGTGGGAATCGAGGAATGAACAAAAGTGTGTCAGGCGACGGGCTGTTGTCGAGCGACGGTCAAAGAAAGGTGGTTGTTACAAGCAGAGTCGATGCAGCCGGTCCTCGATCTGTAGGTCAATCAGTCGGTCGCTTGGTCGCTTGGTCGCCTGGTGGTGTTTTGGCACAGGATCGAGTCTCTTGAAAGGTATTGGGTGTGATCATGCGCTAGGATGAGATGCGACGCGCAGGCGGTGATTGGTCGTGGGCTTCTTTTGGCGCGCAAATGTTCCTTTGTCGAGTGAAAGGCTCCTAAAGGCCGTCTCTAGAAGTCGCCCTTGTATTGTATTGCAATAGCCCTGCTGTTGATGTCATGAAGAGGTTCCGACCCAGGTATGAGCAGGAACAAGAACGGGGGGGAGCGACTGAGGTGACGAAGAGCGTCCGTGTAGATGAAATGACCCAGTTGGATACGGGCAGCGTTGACCGGGGACAGTGGGCGGCGGGCGACGACGATGCGGAGCTAGAGAGGGGATGGCGGGAGTCGGTAAGACACGAGCTGTGCGTTGGTGGGATTTTTGACGACAGAAAACGAATGAAAACGAGCGATGTTTGCGACCAGAACAATAGGCGCGACAACAACAGGTCGAAAGCTCGTCGTTAAGAGTTATCGGGCAAAAGAGGGCGAAGAGAGAAGGAGTTTGGCTCAGAGAAGAGAGTCTGGGGGTCGAGTAAGGTAGAAGGGTGAAAAAGCGAGGTATGTGCACCGGTACCAGGTAAGCAATAGGAAGGTGAGTAAGGTGAGGTGAGGCAGAGGCAGAGAGAGAGAGAAAAGGCGAAGCAGAAGCAGTACGGAGTCGGTACGGAGCAGGTACGAATAGACGAAGGCGGAGGGACGCAAGAGAGGTTGCAGGTGCCGGTGCAAGTCAGAGGCCCAGGTCCAGTCCAGGTCCAGGTTCGGGTCTAGGTCTAGGTCCAAGTGGTCCAGGCCGGGCGTAAGTGTAATGTGCGCGCGCGTGTGTGTATGTGTGTGTGTGTGCGTAAATCGGGCGAGGCCAGGAAATGTAATGTAAGGCAAGGTGAGGAGAGAGAAAGAGAAAGAGAGCACCTAGGTGAGGTGTGAGGTAAGGCAGACAGGATTGAGAGGTGTGGAGGAAAGTACCTTAGTATGGGTGTGCGCTAGACGCGTTGTCGTCAGTGGTGATGAGACCAGTACTTTTCCTTCTTTCTGATTTGATTCAAGCTCGCAGGCAGCAACTCCAGGCCGGGCTGAATTGTCGAAGCCGGCCAAGTTGATAGTGCAGAGTGAGTGTAGACAGCGTAGTGTAGTTGGTAGTCGAGTGAGTGAGACTGTAAAACGAAGAGTGAGAGTGAAAGTGAGTGCGAGGATTTGCGTTGCAGCTGTATCCGTAAGTACTTCACTGAGGTATCCAGCTGTGAACAATGAAGTGTGGCGCCCAGAGTACGATGGATGCTGGCCGTTGACGATGCGGGAACAATAGATACCAGGAAACAAGCACGGAGCAGGGGAAAACACAAAGTACCCAGAGCTGAGCGAATAATTGTTACAATGCCGGCCAGCAGTCCGCGGACAGAAAATTACAAAAGACGCGACAGGGAGCATGAAGCAAGCATCAACAAGACACGCACATCCATCCATCCATCAGGAGCAGCAGCAGCAGCAGCAGAACGAGCATACTCCGTACGGGTACCAAGCTGGACAACTCGTCAGCGCGGCGGCGGCAACCAGGCGCTGACAATACGGGACGGGATGGATAACCCGGACCAAGGTAGCAGCAGTGAGCAGGGTTGACGCCGGTCAGGTGGTCTGGTAGGGCCAGCGGCGACGGGGATGGATGAGGGTTGTGAGGGGTGGACGGCTGCGATACCGATGCCATGCCCATCTGACGGGGCCAGAGGCTCCAGAATCCAATGTGAATTCAATATCAATATCTGATGGGCCCTGAGGGGGGGAGCATAGGCGTGGCAGGCGGTACTGTGTACGGAGTACGGTAAGGTATAGGCGGAGGGGAAGGGCAGGGCAGGGCATCATGAGCATCCATCGCATCAGAGGCACAGGGACTGGCGCAGGGCCCTTGGCTGGAGATGTCGGGTGGGAGGAAACGGGAGTGTGGGAGCTGAGGTGGAAACATGAGATACCTACCTGTCCCGCCAGTTTCGTGGGGTTGGCCAGGTACCTCCTGGTGAGGTGTGTCTAAAGCACAATTGCACACCAATGGAAAAGACCTGGCTCGGGACCTTGCAACAGCTCCAGAAGGCCCAGGGACCAAGACAGGCCTGCCACTCCAGGCCCATCCTATGGTGGAGAGAAAGACTCGTCGAGGCCCGAAGCCTGCAGCGGCCAATGTGTGCTACTAATGCGCAGTTACGTGCGACGTGGGACGTTGGATGCTGCTGGGCGGAGGCTGCTGGGCATCCGTCCTCCATTAGCGGTCTGTCACTGGTCGTTCCCGAATGTCGCGGACTCGCGGTGTCTCTTTAACCACTGGGGTTCCTGGCCTGGTACGTTAGCACGTTACCTTCGCCATCAACCTAAAGTACCTTACCTTACCTTGTCCTTGAGTGCCCCAAGGCCCAGGGCAGGTAGTTGCCGATAGGCCTAGGGTACGGAGTACCGTCACCGACGATCCAAGAAGGGGTGGGCAGGCGATGGCGATGGTGGCACTTCAAAATGAGATAGGTAGCCAGTTGATATTGCAGCTTAGTATCGCAATGGCGGCGGTGGAAGAGGAGACTGTGGTAGTGTGTGGTTGCTTGTTGCTCGCTGGAGCAAGGCTGACAGCATGCAAGGGGACGACAGCGCGGCACTTCCTAGATGAATGTGGAGGCATCCAATGGTAATACGTATGGCAAAGTGGCAATGTGCAAGAGGTGACTGAGAAAGAGGATGAATCTGCAAAATTCGCACCTCAAGTGTTTTCTCGTCGGTGTTGTCCACGTCCACTCACGTCTCCATATCTGAGGTACGTACTCTACATATATGGAGTAAGGAACTGGTAAGGTGTTAAGGTACGGAGGTACCTCTAGTGACAATAAACGCTTGGGTTGTCCATCTCTACCTTAGCTGGCAGGTCCAGAGTGAGTGCCGTAATTTCCATATTGCCATGCACCCGGCTCCAAACATGGCCAAGTACCATTCGTATGTCCAATACACCAAGATGATACTTGGCCGCATTTTTGGCTCTGTGGGGCGTCGTCAAGAAGGATCAAATGGGACGAGGCCTGGGCCAACCTGGGTGCCTGGGTGCCAGCGTGCCTGCCACCTGGGTTCTAACTTCTGGGGATGGCAGAGAAGGGAAGGAGAGGCCCAGCGCGGGTACGAAGTATGGACAACAATGGGAGAGGAGGAAGGAGGAGGAGGGGTGACCCTGCCGACGGGAGCTCTTGCGCGAAATGAGACTGACGAGATGGTGGTGGGTCCCAGTCTCCCGAGTCCCAGTAACCACTGATGGACGGCCATTTCTCCGAGTCCTCCCCGCCTGGCGGGTTGTTCTAAGATTTTGTTTTTAGTTATTTTTCAACACCGGATCAATAAAGCAATCACACTCAATCAATCTCTCATTTCACTACCGCGCACTTACATACGTACTCTGCATCAGTCTAGTGATTTTCAGTCCACAGTTCTCAGATCTCAGTCCACATCACATTTGTACGCGGCATTACCCAGACATCCGGACATCACCTCAACGCGAATACGTAGATATACTTTGAGCATCTAGACGAGACATGCACACCTACTAGGTACCTTAGGTCCAGCAGTGGAGTGAACGCAGAGATTTCATACGGCGTCCATTTCCACAGCCCGGCGAGGAACTTTAAGTTAAGGTACCTACGGCAAGGGAAGCGTGCAGATGCCATCAGCCCAGCCACGCTCTCACGTCTCATTATCTACCCATCTCGAAAAGATGCGTCATCCATCAATGAACGACATCTCCTCGGCATCGTGGCATCCTACCTCGCTCCTGCCTTTTGTCTTCCATGATCCTCTGGCCCTTGGGGTATTCAATCCTGAGATCTAAAGTTCCATCGCTTACGCACTTGATCACACAATGAACTACCGGCATGCGTCAACCCCTTTACCATACATAACTTACAACTTACAGCGTCTTCGCTACGGATACATACGCAGCAGGGTCTACGAAGATGCGGCATGCCTACGGAGTGAGGTATGTCAAGGTACCTAGCGGATTTGCCGCATGCTGGAAAGGCCCCTCTTCCCCTCTTGAGTCTTTTCGGCCGTTCGCGAAAAGCCTCGCGAGTCAAGCTTGGGAGGGGATTGGTGCTGGCCAGTGACCACTGACGAGAGTCACCAATCCATCCACGAAAGCTTAGATATGCAACACCAGAGAGCTTTCACGCGGGCAGTGGTAATTGCACAGTGACAGTCATGTTGCCCGAGACGTCTCCAGACTTCCGAGCCTCTCAGTGGGATCTGCCTGGTCCAGTTGATGGTTTAGATGGTTCATCCATGGTTGTCGTCTGCTTAGACGTGGAGACAAGTCCCCCCCTATGCTCCTAGCGGCCCTGGCGGGAGCTCACCGGAGCTTGGGCGCTCTACTACGGAGCCAGGAGAATACCAGTTCTGGAAATTGGTTCAAAAGGGAAAAAAACAAAACACTGACACAAATCAATAAACAAAAAAGTACGGAAAGAAATCGACAGAGAAGAAGAAAACACGAGAGCAGGGAGCTGTCTGCCTCCCGTCGTTGCCAGTCATTGCCATCCAATCTGGAAGTCGGTGCGAGCCAAGAATCAGATCAAAAAAGATTAATCCAGGTTACGGAGTACATACGTTCACCTCACTAACACCCTGTCCATTACTGGAAGTCGTGATCCCCAGGTCTTGATTATTAGGTTATACAATCACCCGCCAAAATCCTTCCCACGTTCCACCTAAAGCCTTCGGCCGCTTAAGGCATTCTCTCTCTGCGACGGCGAGAGCTCATTCATTTAGGATCTAAATCTATCACTTGTTCCTCAGAGCGATCTTCTCGCGGCTTCCAACAATCATCAGGCAAACTCTGAATTACTGAGTAAGGAAGGCACGCCGCACAGCAGGCTGGCAGTCTGACCTTCCATTGGAAACGACAGGAATGCGCCGCCGGAGGTACCTGCATTAAATGCCATCTGCTCGTCTCGTCCAATCCGGGCCGGGCACCAACTGACAGATGCACCCCGGTAAGGTACCACGGAAGTTACTGTGTACCTTACGCAGTAGGGACCTCTTTCCTCTTTCTCATCTTCATCTTGGGAAGAAGAAAGTGCAATTGTGACACTGACACGCGACAGCCGCGACATCAGGCCAGTCGTAAATTCGTTTTTGCCATCAATTGACTTTTGGACTGAAATGTTGACACATCCCCAGCGGTAAGCCGCAAGCCGCCATTCTCTTCCCACATCAGCCGAGGCTGCACATCATCACATCGACACGCGAAACCCGCCGTGCGGCGTGCTACATTCACCGGCCCGGCGTTCTCAGGACTCGCTGTCTCATTCTTACGTTCTTACTTGTCCGTGTCTATCGACTTGTTTTGCAAACTTATCCGGTCCTTTGTTTCATTTCACCCTACTTATCTCGGACTCGAAAAACTTGGCTTTCGTTGTACTTTCTTTCCCGCAACCTGCTTTCGGCCGGTGGATCTGCTGTTATCAGTCTGGGAAGAGGAATCTGGCAAAGTAGCGTTCACTTTCCTGCCTTGGTCGAGTCATCAAATGCTACCACGACGACATCATCTTGCTCTCATCCGTCCGTTTTGAGCTTCTCCTGAACCAGAACAGGACTTTGTCACGTCTTGACCTCAATGCGCGGTCCATTTGCTGGTCCAGCCCGAATGTCCGTCTCCGAAGAGGCAAAGGCCGCTGTCGATCACCTTGCCAGCGCTGAACTAAGCCTCCTGGCGGATGGAACTGTGCCGGTACGGCCATGCCTTGCAACCGTGGACTCAACCGACGACATCTGTCCATGATAGGTCTACTCTTCGAGACGGCCAAAGCCTGCAAGGAATTACCAACTTCCCAATCTAATGATTCCATGAGTACGGATAGAACGCCGTCTTCTGCTTCCGACTCTCCCTCTGCAGCTTGACCGTCGATGCGTTTCATGGTGGTGGAGCCGAGACCTACAACAACACAGATTGTTCGTTCTATGTGCTCCCTCGCGGCCCTCTCCGGAGTGATACCGGACGCTCAGGAAAAGAGGAATCTCATCTCGTAACGTCGGCGCCGAGATTCGACTCGTCCAGGCAGTCAATTCGTCACTCGTAGCCAGATACCATGCCACTTCCAAGCTTCGGTTCGCAGCACTCACCTGCAACCGACAGAGTCTAGCCAATGGGCCCCAGGACATGCTACTCCTGGCGAACCCTGCGCTCTCTGACCGACACCAAGTCACCCACACATCGGCCGACGTTCCAGGTAATGTCTGACAGCTTTGACACCAATGTCTCGCATTTTCCCCGACATACCTCTGGAGAACAAAGCCTAAGACTCCTCGTGTTTTCTCATCAGCTCAGCAACATGGAGTCATAGGCAACTAGTTCAGATTCACGGTTCACGGTTCACCTTCTGCAGAAAAGCAACACAAGCCACCCAACGCAACCCAATGGCACCCCATTTCAACCCATCCAACCCGGCAGCCTATGCACTGTCTGCAGAGCCCAGATGCTGGATCTTGCCGAACATCCAACGCTCCAACCATTCATCTGCCTTTCCATGCCCATGCCTACTTATCCCATCTTCAGGGACTGGCGGGTCACAGTGGCTCTCATAACAGATACCCCATCGCTACCTGCAGTCTTGAGGCCTTCACCTAGGGCCGGGCGGTAATCCGCATGTACTCTCCCATCTCATTGGCACTTGCTCCCACCCCCATAGCTACCCGATGACGTCGTGTACCTCTGGCTTCGACGACGATGCCCGCATCCCCGCCAGGTTTATGTCAACGGCCTTCAGTGCTAGAAAGAGCTTTTTGGCCCGAAGCCCTTCCCGGCTTCGATAGTGTTGCCTCCCGCCATCCTGCCCAATGTCGGCGTCTGCGGCCCACTGCCACCGCACAGCACCATGCCACACCCTCTACGTACCATCGTGAGGACCCTTCAAAATGCCGTCAATAAGCTGCTCCAACCAATGCCGGGTTCATCCCGTTTCCAAAATTAGCACCGAATCCTCTCATCATGCAGGGACACACAGCGCCCGTTCCCCAAGTCAGGAATGTCGTGTTTCCTCACCCGGACCTGTTGTTCAACGACAACCGGGTGGGATTTGCGGAGAAAAGCTGCCTCGGACACGGCTTTGGCATCATCTCTACTGGCTGCGTCGCATTTCTTCGCCCTTGACGCATCACGCACTCTGTACGCAGCAGTGTAGTCGACCTTTGGGGGTGGTGCAGAGCCACGCAACTTCGTCATCAAAACAGCCATTCGCCTCAGCTCGCCCAATAGCGACTTCCTTCCGCCTTGCCCTGTTTACCGTCGCATTTTCGGGACGCTTAGAACTGGCTCTTGGCCGAGAGATCCCTGATCTACGCCTATCTACAACACAACTGCAGGAAATGAAACAGGCTAATTGTTGAAACGGAGGATTCTTGTCTTGCAAGTGGTGTCTGCAGGGCTGAAAGCGTATGGCGAACCTTGCCGTCCATACGAGCCAGATCCGTCGCACCCACGTACCATGACAACTTCACCTCCTTGATAGGCAACAGTCGAATCCACACTTTAACTTGTTGTCAGGTCCAGGAACGCGGGGTAGAAGGTGATAGAAGGAGGGCATAGCCACACTGTTCCTCCATCGTGGCTCACATGACTGTGTTTCTATACGATAGCGTGCTGATTCTGTATCGGCGTAGCTTATCCATGGTTGCGCAGATGTGGAGGTTCGGAGCTGTCGGGAGGACGTTTTCTCGCTCAACTTGGCAGCTTGGAGACCTATTTGTGGATACGCAGTATTCATGATTCCAAGTTCTTCATCAAGACTTTGCTGCATAGCTACCTTGGTTCGGATGACATTTTCGAGCTGATTTTGGGAATGATCGGGGTTTGCTGTTCACGAGACACGTGTAAGTGATCAGCGGTGATGGCGGGGAGGTGGTCTGGCTTCGTTCTGGAGGCAAATTCAACTTGCGACTAAGATGCACGTGATAGTGAGGAGTTGGAGAGTCCCAGAGGCACTGCCATTTATTGACTAAGCTCGTCAATACGCAGTCCAACAGGGATCTTGTGATCACGCTGAGTATTCAAGGTGAGTATGGTCGATGTGCCCTTTCTTGGTTTGGAAGCACTCTGAACTAAGCTCGACGAACACAAGTGACTAGTCACGGTAGTCTTGTGGCTATGATTGGACTTGCTTCCATCCAACGGTCGTGTCGTCAAAGACCCTCGGAAGCGTATCGTAGAGCATACATTTGCATCCTTATGAGATGAGCCATATGATGTAGCAGGGGTCGTGAAGTAAACGGTCCTTAGGAGGCGGGGGTGTACCGCCGTGATATCATGGAATCCCAAGAGAAGCAAGACCATGAAAGAGGAATCATCTCTATCTCGGAGTCTCCTCAGTCTCGGGATTCTGATTTTGAGCATGATAATTTACCTCTAGACAGTCCCAATCATCACCCTCGGTCTGTATAACCTTCTTTTCAACAAACGACATCGAGACACGGAAGTTTTGTGACCAGTATAATTGTAGGAGGGCTTCGATTCACAAGTTTGGGAGAGTTTCAGGCAGCTCAGTGAATGTATAAGAATTGCCTTTCTCGGTTGATGATGTGATACGGCGTTCGGCATATGGTTATCCTAGTGTCCCAAGTTCCGATTCGTAAAACTAGATTGTGTCATTCCTTGCCTAGATCCTGGACTCTACTTGGGTGTGGGATATTCACAGAGTTGCACCTGGCCGTCTTCTCACTCCGGCAACGTCACGTAAAGGCGCAGCCCAAGCTTTCAGTGGCCCTTTACGTCTTTAAATATCGGCCAGGCAGTTTATCATGAACGACGTTGAATGTAACAACACGGAAGGCCACGGAGTGGCTAAGTGATGTATAAGGTGGTCATGGCTTGATCTAGGTCTGTCCACCACTCCTAACGTCGAGCATTTGCATAGGGAGAAAGACACGTAGCTGGGAAAATACTTGGAAAAGTGTCGTTGGCCTTTCATGTTTACACATATGGCTTGGGTGAGCTTTGAATGTCTTGAGTGATGAGTTGACGAGCTGCTCAGTGAGTCGATATAGCTGCCTTGATAGTTGGGATAAATTTTGCAGCTTTTGCATGGGATATGTCGTAGGCTCTCTTGCACCGGCGTCTAAACAATTGTAGGAGGGACCTTCCAGTGCTACCCAATGAGCTTCTGCTCAGATTGAACGCGTGAAGATTTTACTCCATAGCGTGGACAGTGAGTTGTCGGAGATGCAGGACCGCTATGGAATATTCCACCAATATCAATTAGAAGACGTGCATCAATTCGGCAAGAAAAAAAGCCCAAGGTAGAGTTTTTACTGAATCCAAATACGAATCCATCTTTAGGTATACGAGAGGACTGTGACAGTCCGCGTGACTACCTGAGGGGTGGCTGGTCGATGGGAAATATTCTCCAGAAACCTCTCTTCGTTGATAATTTCTAGCTCAGATTGCCAGAAACATATACGATTATCAAAAGGAACTCAAAGTTGTGAAGTTGTTCTCGGAAGCAGCCTCGACCAAGATACCACGCCTTACTTACACCGAAGGGCAGAATTTGCGGGCAGACAGAGCCGGCGATTCGGAACCCACTTTTTTTTGGATCGGCGCCCAGTTTGAGTGTGGCCTGTGCGCCGGCACTTGGAGGGGTGAGCTTCAGCCACGGTGGCTTGACTTTGCGACGACATCATCGGCTTCCAGACACTTGTCCAACAATTCCGTCTCCGTCAGAATTTCGAACTGAACCAACCCCGAGAGCGCCGCGAAACCCAAAGCGAAAGACATAGTAGAAGGTACAATGGCTCGACTGTCATCGGCGTCACCGTTCACCGCTGGCGCATCCCCCGAGAAGGGCGCGGCCGAGCTCAGCCAACTCCTGCGACGACTTGACCACGCGATCCTCCATGCCGACCAGGGCCGCGAGCGCCGTTTACGGGCCAGCGAATTTGAGCGAGCGAGATTAAACTCGGTAGGGGGTTCCTGATGAAGGTCAATATAGCGCGTGCGTGTGCTCACCAGGATTGCCCCAATACAGAACCTCGAATATGCCCGAAGTCTTCTTACCAGAGTCGAGCAGGAGGCGCTGCACGTCAAGCTGCTCTCCCGGAGGCAGGATATGCAGGTCGACCTAAACCGTAAACGCGAACTTCTCGAAAGGCTGGTAGATAGGATGCATGATCTCGAACAGGTGCGCTCTTTAGATGCCCTTCTAGACGGAGGGGTACGGCGACTTTCATGGGTCGTTGCTAATAACTGCGCAACAGTTACACGAGGATGAGGATGACAACAGCTCAGATGAAGAAGATATTCTAGCCGATATCATACCGACACCGAGCGAAAGCATGGACTCGCGATCAACAGACATACCCACAGACAACACCCCCGAAGACGACGACGACGACGACGACGACGACGACGACGACGACGAACCAGAAATACCGGACCTGCCTCCACCCGTATCGGCTGTCCCCAGAGACCCGTCAGAGCCGCCAACGGCACCAGCACGATCAGCAACAGAACCATCGCCAGCGCCGCAAACACACACGACCCCCGACTCGGGCGGCACAAAAACAACGCAGACCCTCCGCTCCCGCGGCCCAGCCCGCCCAGACTCCCCATCAGCAACGACAACAGCCACAGCTCGCGCAGCCCTCTTCGCCTCCCGTCGCTCCAACACGACGAAATCCTCCGCCTCGGGCCCCACGTCGTCGACGGCGACGGCCGAGGCGATCCTGGACCACCAGCGTGCGGAGCAGGACGCGCTCTCCGAGTCGATCCTCAAGATGGCCAGCGCGCTGAAAGCCAGCTCGCAGAAGTTTTCGAGTACCCTCGAGCAGGATAAAGGCGTGGTGTCGCGCGCGGCGGACGGGATGGATAAGACGGAGAGGTCGATGGACGCGGCGAGCCGGCGGATGGGTACGCTAAGGAAGATGACGGAGGGGAAGGGGTGGTGGGGGCGGATGATTTTGTATGCTTGGGTGTATGGGCTCATGGTCGGCTTGATCTTGTTGGTGTTTGTGATGCCGAAGCTGAGGTTCTGAGGGTACATGGTAAAAGGGGGATGGAAAACGCCTATCATCTATGTTCAAGAAGAGGTTCAAGATCGGGTTTGACATGTCTACAGAGGCGTTGGGATAACAAGGAGGGCTTTGTCTGCGAATTGGATGCGAGGGGGCATGGCATAAGCGGCACTATGAAATACAAAGATGGTTTTTTTTCTTTGATTCAACGATTTTGCTCATTCTATCCCGTCAAGCTTGCTGGTGTACTAGGCTACCCCATACCCAGCAACTTCCCTCACAGCCCGATCCAAGCCGCACAAAAGACAAAAGCCAGCGCAGCAAACCCCGGAATAAGGCCGTGTTGTACAATCCCCACCGACGCCGACTGTCCCAGCGCCAAAGCAGGCGAAGGCGAGGGCGGAACAGCGAACGTAGAGGTCTTGATCGGTCTAGACGACGAAGACGCCGAGGGCGTAGCCGTCGGGGTAGCACACGGCGCCGCGGTCGCAGTCGCAGTTGCGATCTGGGGCCTGGACGTAGTCGAATACGATGATGTTGATGATGACGGTGGAAGCGGATCAGTGACAAAGGTAGGCCACTTATTCGCCGCGAGGCTCTGGATGGATTTTGTCTTGAAGTCGGAGCCGAAGCAGGCTAGGCCTGTTCTCTGGGATTCGCCTGAGCCGTGGAGGAGGGTGCCGCAGATGGGGCTTTCTGTGTTGCTTTGAAAGGGGAGGTTATGTTAGTGTGTTCGAGATGGGATTGAACTCGAAGAGGGGGAAGGGGGTGAAAGGGGGAAGGGGAAGGGGGTTAAAAGACATACCAGCAGAGCGTCCTCTCCCCGTTTTCCGTCTTGCCGCTGCAGATTGGTTCGGCGGGGCCTAGACAGGTCGAGTAGAGGCTTCCGCAGAGCCATCTGCCTGTGTTGTGGCATGCGATTCTGGAGGTTCCTGTGCCGGCTGTGCAGGTGACCAATGCGAGTTCTAGGAGAGGTTCATATTAGCTTTCGCAATAGTACTGAGGCCCCCTTTTTCTTCTTTCTTAATATCTCCTGATCCTCCAGAGATGTGCATGTAAATGACTGGAATTGACTAACCTCCGCCTGTCCTAAAGTACCCGCACGTCTCCTTTCCTGTGCTCTCTGAGATGACTTGTCGCGGGGTTGAAATTTCAGAACGCTGGTCCAGTGGGCCGCTGTTCTTTAATCTGTCAAGTGGTAGAGTTGCGCTCTCTGTTGGCATCATGACGATGGCGATGGGATCCGCTGTGGTCGGAGACAGGAGGATGCCGGCTAAAGCGAGCAGAACAGAGCGGGCTCTCATAGTGGCATAGAGGGAAGCGACGTAGAAGCTAAGCGAGACTTCTAGGAGAGGCGGACCATCACCGACAATAAACGCGCGAAAGGCATTCTGACTTGGTCATATAAGTAAGTAGATTCTTGGCATCTTTCTGAGGACGAAGCTAGGTGTTTTTGAGGTTCAAAGGTGGCTCACACTCGAATGGCACGGTTCGAAATGGGAGCAAACATGTACGACGAAAGACACAAGCGACGTGAGTGCCCTTGCGTGTATTTGAATGGGGACCGGATATGGGCCGGATCCGCGTCTCTTTGTCCATCTCGTCGCTTCGTCTGCCCTTAGTTCGAGCAAACATTCAGCGCGAGGTTTTTCAAGGGCGGAAAATCTCTGTTATGTTGCATGGTCCCGAACTCTCATGAATGGGGCTTCAAGGTTTCTTGGAATAGCAATGATCAGGACAAGGCGAGAGTACGCGAGGTGCGCATGTTGAAGTAGGAAGTAGAAATTTAAGTATGCTACCGTGCTCGAACCGCGTGCAACTTGATCCTTGAGAAATCGACATGGCTAAGTAAACTTCACAGGTCTGGGAAACGTCGATGGGAAGAGTCAACCGATCATGACCTGAAAAGTCTCGTACTTACATTGATTTGGAATTGGGAGAACTGGCCCAAGAGAATGTTCAAAGCGAAACAACATCAAGTGCCGGCTAGGCATACCATGAAGAACTCTCTCCCCTCTCACAACGTATTTCAGGTGCTCTCGAGATCATCCGCCATACGCTTCGTAATCAATCCCAGTGATACGCATGAACGACTATAACTAAGTTCTAAATAATGTGGTGTCTCTGCTTGCAGGGTTCACACTTATACCGAAGAAGAAAAAACATGATAATTCATTTCTATAACATCGCTTGGCCCGCCTGAGACTTTCGCGTAAAATCAGATGCTGGATCACTTTGGAGATCACCACAGCGTCGAACAGTCCGACTCAACCCAACTCTGCAGGCTTCATCGCGCTCCCTATCGAATCGCTCGCCGGCGCCTGAAACTCATCCCGTTGCGCAGACGAGGACGCGGGTGACAAGGGCGACATGGGCTGATAGTCCCACTGTTCTCCTCCTCCGCCTCCCTCTTTCAGATTAGGAGACACACACGGCTGATCGCCAACAAGCTCGTGGCTGGGAGACGGCGAGACGTGACCGCCGCTCCTCGATTCTTCCCGGACCGATGTCTCTCGTCTCCATCTCACGACGAGCCATGTAGCGACGCAGCCGGCGATGGCAAGGATGGTTACGCTGCCGAGGACGCCGCCGACGATGGCACCCGTCTGAGAGCCTCTCGATGAAGCGCCACCGCCGCCGCTGCCGTTGGAAGGCTCTGGCGTCGGCGCGCTTGTTGAAGAGGCTGTTGAGAGTGTCGGGCCCGATGGGACGGAAGCGGTGGGCTTGTCGTCTGGGGTTATCGAGGAGGAGTTTGGCACGGATGTGGTACGTGTTGTCTCTGCTGAAGAAGAAGAAGAAGAAGCCGTGGTGGTGAAAAGAACTGGAGGAAGCAAATTGGACGATGCGGTATACAGGTAGACGATGGGATCCCACGGCAAGCCTGTCTCGCGACATCCCCAGAGCGTCTTGCTCTGGGTTCCCTCTTTCCTGACGAATTGCTGACACTCCCCGTTGAAGCCGTCTGTTGACGTGCTATTATTTCATCAGACACTATTAGTGTCTTCTACCCGCCCAAGAAGCTACTGGAGGGGGGCAACACGTGAAATTTGTCTCGAGGGACGCGGACGTACCAGCAAATCGTATCCTTTCCACGAGTTTGAGATGGAGATGAACCGCACAAGGGGTTACTTTGAGGCAAACAGGAGACGATTGGGTTCGTTCCACAGAACAGGTAATCCTTTTGAACGATGCAGCTGGTGTCTGGTTCAACGCAAAGGCGCGTTCGTATCTCTATAGTAGCCAAACAGAAATTTATCAGTATATTGTAAAGACCGAGATTGTCGCGTGGAAACATTTTCTGTCAAGGGTCGGGACTGTTCTTCTTAGGGAAAAATTAAAGAAGGGAGAAGACTTACCCGGATCCGTTTCTTTAGAAAGGGTGAATAAGCCGCAGGTGTTCTTGCCTATGGTTCCGGCTGTGACAGGGTCTCTCTGCTTTAGTCTCTTCGCGACGGCATCTGAATGCATGACTACCGGCGTCAGCTGCGGCCGTGGCCATCGATTTGCTCTCGGTATTGCGGGACTGCGGTCGTTGAATTCGAGCTCTGTCGATGGCTCTGATAGGCTAGGACGCCAGAATCCGAAGCTTTCCGCCGTTGGTAGGCTGGCCGCAACGACGAGGAGCAGAACCGAGAGGGTCCGCATCGCTGGAACTCTGACCCAAAAAGAAGTATTAACTGAGTGAACGGGAAGATGGTACTGTTGGAGTAAATGTGATGATGGGGCAAAGGGGAACAAACGAAGATGTGACGAAAGAGATGGGAAAATCGAGGCGTAGTCTGGGCGAAAAGGGTTGCCCTTGGTTTTATTCGCAGGTTTGGTCATGCGTCTTTGTTTAACTCTCAGAGGGAACAGTAGTCATTTGGGACGGATAGTAAGATGGAAGGGCTGTTTGTGATATGTTCGATGGCGAGCTTGATTCGTGATCCGAGCTGTGTTAATTTCCCTTCTCTTTGAAGGAGGGTGGTACAAACATGTTCTCGTGGTGTTTGCTCAAAATGTTTCTTTTCATTAACTGTAGCGCAAACACTCTCTCATCTAGTCACTCGGTTCTCGCATTGGTTTTGGTATTATAAAGTCCGTTTGGTGCCATGCTTTTTGACAAGTTTGTGGTACCCGAACATAGGCCACCCCTTGCTGTTGCGAATTTTGCTCGAGCACTCCCATTTGCTCGAAGTTCGAAGGTATCGCAAGCTGCCAAGTCTTCCTTATGTACCAAGCAGTGTCTTATTACTACTTACTAGCGACCGTAGCTTTTGTTTTCCTGCGAAGATATGAAAAAAGTTTAATGCTGTATCACGTTGTGTGCCACATCACTATTGTTTCTCACAGCCACCCAGTCTGTCACCACTTATGAACTGATTTTGTAAAACCTCTGCTGAGAGAAGATTAGTGCAATACTTAGTGCTGCTATCATTCTATTAGCTATGGCAATTCTAGGTCTCCAGTCTCATGATGTGTCCTTGATCTTCTTCCTTCCGATCAGCCTTTAACCCCGGGTTCAGCCACATCTGATCTCAGAATACTACTTCCTCATGGAAGCCTGTGAAATCAAGAGACTTAAAAGATCGGTGTAAGTTGAATGGAAGAAGGAAACACTCAAGTGACTACTCGCAGAGATCCCAAGACTCCTCAACTTCAGGCTCAGGTTCAGTTCGGTTGACAGAACTGGGATTCTTGGTGACAACAATCTGGTACGTATTGGCGCGGCCTTGGCCGAAGATGATGACCATGTAGGCCAAGAAGAACTCGAACGTCTAGAAAGGTAGGCTAAATGTCAGTATCCTATGCTTATGGTGACAGAAAGGGGGAAGGGAAAGAGCTGCGCTCGAAAACCCACCCGGTAGACCTTGGGGCCATACATGACAACCAAAGCGTCTCGATTCCAGACAAAGTTACCGTACCACTTCCGGACCGTCTCAGAGTAGTGGCGACCAATGTTGTCCACGCTGTTGACTCTGAAGCCGGCGGTCTCGAGCTGGTTGGTCAAGGATCCGAGCGAGGCATAGGGGACGGCGTCGGGGCAGACGTACTTGGCCATGAGGAGTCTCCATACGAGGTCCTCGTACTGCCAAGACTTGTCCGCGCCCGCGACCTCGACGAAGAAGATACCGTCGTTGGACAGTAGACCGTGAATATGCTTGAGGAAGTCTGAGCACTCGCCAGGGCCTGTGTGCAGAGCCATGAAGTTACCGGGGCCTTTGTGCTGGGCGAGATGCGTGCAGATGATCTTCTTGTATCCGCCTCTGATGGCCTGGATGTTGATATACTCGTTGGTATGGGTGAGGCCAGTGAATGGAACATTGGGAAAGATACGACGGGCGTGGTTGGCTAACGCTTGCCAGCCATAACCGATGCTGAGGACTCTATCGAATGGGTTAAGTCGAATCTTCTCACAGATGATGTCGAGCTTGTTGTTCTCGAGTTCCTCTTGAGACTCTTCGTTGTTGGTGTCGCGGACGATACCAGAGGTGTACATCATGCGCGGTCCCAGGAAGCCTCGCAGCAGGCCTACGTCGAGTTCCTCGTAGTCTGTATAAACACAAGCATCATCTGTATACAACTCGACTAGATATTTCTGATGAAAATCAGTTAGGATGAGGGGAAAACATACCATGAAAGCAGAGATCCTCAGCCATCTTTGGGATGAGCTTGAAGAGAACGTGGTAGATGAGACCGACAGTCAGACGGAAGGAAGCCCAGTCATGTCTTTTCTCGAGGATAGCCAGAGTGTCTCCGTTCAGCTCGACGTCTCCATTGAGGTACAACTGACAGAAGGTGGCCATCGGGATCTTTCTCTTGCCGCGGTACGTGACCTTTTCCGGATGCTTGAAGGTCATGTAGGATTCGATAGTATGGCCGGGGAGGAGAACGGCCTCGCTGATGCGAGGGCTGATGGCGGAAGCAACGAGCCAGAGAGCGGCGGTAACGGGGACTGCTATAAAAGCGCTGAGAACGAAGTCAATGATGGGACTGCCTGCGAAGGAGAGCCAGAGACCCTGGAGTACGATGACGTACCCCAGGGCCAGGCTCTGACTCGGGGAAGGCATCGTGATTGTGGTGGTGGATGGAGAGTTGGAACAGAGATGGGAAAGCTAGAAAGTCATTTAAATAGAGATCTCTCGGTATTGCTTAGTCGCTCGCACGTATTCGTAACACGATACGGGGATATCACTAGACTGTAAATGACAATGGAGCGGGACTTTGAAGGTCTTAATACTGCTCGGCCACTTTAACGTATTCATAGGACGATACGGGACTGTCACCGGAGTATGACAGGCACTGGAGCAGGACTTGAAGTGTCTGGACATTACTTAGATACTCGAACGTACCCATGGTACGATGTAGGACTGGCATCGGAGCGTGACTGGCATTAGAGCAGAACTCGAAGTGTCTCGATAGTACTCAGTCACTCGTACATATTCGTGGTACGATGCAGGACTATCGCCGGATCGTGACTTGTATTGGAACGGGACTTGAAGTATGCATGTAGGTTTTCGATTAACCAAGGTAGAACCAGGAGCAAGCCCTTATTCAATTCACAACCTTGACAAGGGAATCTTTTTACGCTTCACTGTCGTAATAGCTGCTCGACATTGACGATACTCGGCTTTCGAGTGAAATCAAACGCTTCATACTCGCAATCTTGGATATGCCAGCAACGGTCAGTATAAACCAACGTAACACGTAGATTTCACACAATACGGGATTGACAACAAAGCGGTATGTGAGAAGAATATGGACTCACGTTGAGCAGAATCTCAGTGGGGAACTGAAAGACATCCGTTATTTGAGTCTGAACTTTTTAGGAATGACGTATTTGGGATTGTCAATGACAGGCAACGAAAAGCCACTCATCATTTCTGTGAACTGGTTTCAACAGTCCAGTTTTTTGCTTTTTTTCTGTCCTTGTTTGAGTCACAATGAGAGATGGCCACTAGAACAGGGGCAGTCAAGAAAGAGAAGCAGTCGGTGTCCACTTCACTGGCCTATGAGTCACTACCTAGTTATACGCCCTGTGTGATTTCTTTCAGGAAGGGGAAGCAAAAGCTCAAGATCGTGGTACCCCAGTATCTCCCCCCTCGGAGTATGCTCTTTACCTTGTTACTTTCCTCTAGAAACTTATAAAGCCAGCCCTTCTATAAGAGCTGTAAGCGAAGGGGAACCAAGACTGATTATCCTCTAACATAAAGAGCGGGTTAGAGATTGCTTTCTTGACAATATCTTTCCGTTTATGTAGGTCCATCTTGAGGACTTGGGCGTACATAGTTCGTCAAGCGATCTCGCCTTCAAGAATCAAAGAAGTCAGCCAGCTTAGCAGGCCAAGTGACTGAGAAGAATATATGACTTGGCACTATGAAGTGAATCTTTGGCGCTGTACTGTTTGTACTTGTAAAGAAAAGGAACTTGTGATCTCCTTGTCTCTATTATACTTCACTATATAGTTGCCGACAGCAAAAATCTGCGCGGAAATCTGCAGAATGACTCTACGGGCAGCGTATGCAAGAAGTGAAAAACAACTGCTAGAGCATTGAAAGACTTATGAATCAACAATGTCCTTCTTGTTTTGTAGTGTCTGCTTTGGTCAGCTCTCCTAGCACACTTTGTTGAGAAGGGAACGTTTGAGAAAGTTGAATGGATGTTGAAGAATTAAAGATGGTGTGGAGATGCAAGCAAATGCGGGGAGCCGAGAGAGGGGAGCACGGACTTTGCAAGGGAGCTTACCCCAATTTTGGGGGCTACTCAGCGACTCCAAAAAGTTACAAAGAGGACGCTGTGAAAGTAATTTGTGAGGAGTTGGGAATAGCTTCATTTGATATCCTAAATAAATTTAAACCCCCAAAGTTCCAGCCACGGTGGGCCGATCATCTCTCTATAGACTCTCAATCAAAATAGCACAGTCCGCAAATCTGTACCAACTCTTGTCCACCAACCCATCTTACCCTATCACTCAGGAGGTATATCCAAAGAACCACATGCACACACAACTTTAACCCTGCAAATACAACCGTCCCTCCCAAGGCCTCAAGACCGTCTTGCCACCCTCGGAAGCAACTCTATCCTTGACGTCGTCGTAGTTACCGACCCGGATCTTGGCGCCCTCGCCGGGGACCTCGACCGCCTGTTCCTCGCCCGTGAAATTCAACACCACGACGGCGCTCCGGCCCCCACGCGACTTCTTATACACAAACGTCTCCTTATTCTCCTCGTCAAACAGCTCAAACGCGCCGTGCGTCAGCAGCTCGCCCTCCTCCTTGCGCAACTTTAGCATCTCACGCCAGAAGTTCAACACCGAGCCCGGTTCCTTTTCTTGCTTGGCGACGTTGATGGACCTATACTCGTCGTGAACGCGCATCCACGCGCCCTCTTTATTGTCCGTGAAGCCGGCGTAAGGCTTGTCGTCCCACTGCATCGGGATGCGCGCGTTGTCGCGGCCGAGCAGGTTGATGCCGTCCATGACGTATTTCAGCATGTCGCTGCCCTCGCCAAACTCCTTTTTGATGTCGTCGTAGTAGTTGAGCGCCTCAATGTCCTTGTAGTCCTCGATGCCCCAGCTGCGCGAGACGTTGGTCATGCCGATCTCTTGGCCCTGGTAGACGAAGAGCGTGCCCGTCTGCGAACACATCATGAGCGCCAGCATCTTGGCTGACGTCTCGCGCCACTCGGGCGTGTCGCTGCCCCAGCGCGAGACGGAGCGCCCCTGGTCGTGGTTCTCGCAAAAGGCCGTCGTCCAGCCGTCGGTGCCCTCGATGAACATCTGCCACTTTGCGACGATGCGCTTCAGCTCGGGCAAGGTCCACTTCTGTGCCTGGTACTTGTAGCCGACGCCCTGGCCGAGGTCGACAATGTCGAACTGGAAGACCATGTCGAGCTGGCGGTCGGCGGCGCTGATGAACTTGAGGACGTGTTTCGGGTCCGGGGTGTGGGGGAGCTCGCCGACGGTGACGGTGTCGTAGTGGTTGAGGACTTTTGCGTTCATCTCGCGCAGGAACTCGTGTATCCGCGGGCCGTTGCAGTAAATCATGTAGGCGGGCTGCTCGTAGGCGTTCTTGTTCATGATGGGGGCGTCGCGGAAGTCGACGCCCTTGCTGTACATGTTGACCGTGTCGATGCGGAAGCCATCGACGCCCTTGTCGAGCCAGAAGCGCATGGCGTTCTCGTAAATGGCCTCGCGCGTCTCCTCGTTCTCCCAATTCAGGTCGGGCTGCTCCTTGGCGAAGAGATGGAGGTAGTACTCGCCCGTGGGCTCGTCCCACTCCCAGGTGCTACCGCTGAAATGGCTTCGCCAGTTGGTGGGAGGCAGACGTGTGCCGTCCTCGGCGTAGCGGGGTGGTTTCCAGATGTACCAGTCGCGTTTGGGGTTCGTTTTTGAGGATCTCGACTCCTGGAACCACTTGTGCTGGTCCGAGGTGTGGTTGACGACGAGGTCGAGGATTAGCTTCATACCGCGCTTGTGGCATTCCTCGATGAGAACCTCCATGTCGCGGACGGTACCGTAAGGGCGGTGGACGTCCTGGTAATCGGAAATATCATAGCCCATATCGATCTGGGGACTGGCATACATGGGCGAGACCCAGACGATGTCGGTGCCAAGGTCCTTGAGGTAGTCGACTTTGTCAATCATGCCCTGGACGTCGCCGAGGCCGTCTCCGTTGCCGTCCTTGAAGCTGGCGGGGTAGATCTGGTAGATGACGGCATCCTTCCACCAAGCTCTGCTGGCGTTGTTCAAAGTTATTGAACCCATTCCGAAAACTAGTCTGACAGAGCTGCTAAAGCCAGCCTACCTAGAGAGGTTGTAATTGGGTGTAAGAGAAAGAGAGGAAGGGAGGAAAAAGAAGGAAGAAGGAAGTGGGACAGTAGATATGCTCAGTACAGAGTAAAGGAGCGCAGGGCAGACAAGAGCAACACAACGACTAGCTTGCGAGCTCAAAAACAGTGCTCGCCCGGAAGCTTCTCGCTCTCACTTATATACATCTTCACGAATCGGACCACAGTCGACCTTAGCCCGGCGCCATTGTCTTTCCCCGCCCCCCTCCTCGCTGTCTCTTTGGTCTCTCTTTCTGTCTCTCAAGTTGGAACCAAGTCAAGAAAAAGGTGGTCGAAAGACCACTGGCAATAACCGAGGCGGGACACGAAACGTCGTGCGTGTGTGGGCCACGGTGCGGAAGATCGTCCCTCTCCATGACAGGCCGGTGCATGCAAGCGCCGCATGCGGGTGGTGGTGGCCCTTGGACCTTGGAGTCAGTCCCGAGTCTACTTGCTGCCCACGCGGGGGGGCGGCCACCTAATCGTGCTAAGTAACTTGTGTTTGCTAGGTGCGCGTTCGATGGCTCAACGTGTGTGTGTGGGTGGTGGTCCGCGGAGAGAGTGGTGGTGGTGGTGGTGGTGCGCGCAGGGCCGGCCAATGACACGGCCAAGAGGCAGCTCAATTCTCGCTGTAAAGTCTGGAAGAAATACAATTGGTTCCCCCCGCGCCGTGCGGACTATTTCTTGGAACCATGGTCCATTGGTCCCATGTGTGTGTGCCCCGCGGCGAGGTCTCCGTAGTTGGGGTTGTCGACTTAATGGTGTGGTGTGAATCCGTATTAGGTGCTGCGTGTTGCTGCGTGTGTGTGCAAAATACAGACGAAGAAAAAGAGCGAACTCCACGCCCAACCCAGGGGCGCGGGTTGGATTAGCGGGTAAGATAGGCAGCCGGGCAAACTCTCGCTAAAATTGTAGATCGGGGCGCTGCCGACCCCTTCTTTTTTGGAGAGTTATTGGAGTATTGGAGAGAGAGTCTCGGGCCTCTTGGGCCTCTTTTGTGGTCTTGTGAGTTCTTTCTAACTAAGCTTACCATCCAGTTTACAAACCTATTACAACTTATCCGTGCCAACCAAACCAACCAACCAGTCAATCCAGACACGCACGCTAGGTACGTAAAACTTGCGCACACTTACACCGTGACCACTGATTCCCTCAAGAATAGGCACGCAGCTTGGGCGAACCTTGAGTAGAGAACAAGTGCTTAACATTGCCACGTTCAGCCAAGTGGTCTCATTTCACTCAA